ACATTGGAATTATTCAACCTTTACAGTGAAGCCATCTTGAAAGAATTAGAATAACTACTAGAATTCATTATTGGCAGGCCACATTCTTAACAATATAAGATATGTAGATAACACTGTGTTGATAGCAGACACTGAAAGAAAACTACAGGCACTCTCCCATAGAATGTAGTAAAGTTATTCATTACTCATAATTTCTTATCAATTGCAAATAAATTAACAAGGGGCACTACTTTATAATTACCTAAAAACCAGCTATATATAAATACCCATAGGCAATTAATATTTGATTTAAAATAAAAAAATAAAGTTGCTTTTCTTTTAATATTGATAATATATAGAATGCGGTATAGGATGATCACATATCTTCTCATCAGACTTATTCAATCTTTACAGTGAATCAGTTTTGAGAGAATTAGAAGTCCTATCAGGATTCATTATTGGCAGCCACAACCTTAACAATATTAGATATGTAGATGACAGTGTTGATAGCAGACATATAAAGGGAACTACAGGCACCCCCACAGAGGGTAGTTATTGATTTCCAATCTGTAGGAATGACCAAAAATTTCCCTCCTCTCCTTTTATAAACAAAACTCCATAAAATGCATGCTGGGATACTTTTCTTAGTCAATAAAATAGGTCAATTTACAACTTTACTCAATCCATATCTACCTTGCCTATATGGAAGATCATTGAGTTTACTTGTTTGACCTAGCTTTTCTATGTAGATGCTAATTCGTAGTTCGTAAATCCTTTTGCTTTCTTACTTGTGAATTTACTTATATTGTTTGCTTGCTTGCCTGATACGATTTAATTTTGCTCCTCTTTCTTTCTATTGCAAATATTATTAATTCTATTTGTTTGGACAGATGTGCTATTTATTTAGCATTTGGGCCATGACTTCTATCTTAACAGTAGTATAGTTATTCATTACTCATACTCAGCTGTTAACTAAATGTCAGTTCACTTTTTGTTTCCAGAATTTGTTATTAATTGCAAATGAATTAACAAGGAGCACTACTCTGGAATTAACCAAACTCCAACTATATTCAAAATTTAATGTTAGCTTTACTTGTACCTCCACTAATACCTAATCAGCAAGAGTCATGTGTTAAATCATTTTTTGAATATACATAATAATATTTGGTTTTATAATGTGTGGTAATGTTCTTCATGAAAGAGAAAAAGAAATGAAAAGATCAAGAAATTTTGCATGAAATAATGATACCAACTGTAAGATTATATTAGTAACATCTGATAAGAATATGATACTAAATTTCTGATGTGCGAAAATAATTATTTATTTACTTCTGAACTCCAAATTAAAGTCTACCATGATGGGTATATAGTTTCTGAGAATTTCTTCAAATGTTTGATCTTCTCACAAGGAGTTGAGTGACTCCCCTTTTTCCTTCTTGGTCAGGCATCTATATAACTTCTTCTCATTCAAGGGTCAGGTATCAATATAAATTCCTATCTTGAATGTGTCCTGATTATGTCAGTACACCCACCAACCAGACCCAATACTGCACTTGGTGGATATATGGACACCTTCTAGGTCAAACTACATGGTTCCTAAGTCTTTTAACATTCTAACCTTACTTTGTATCTCTTCAGGTATGCACTTAGTGGATATATGGACACCTTCTAGGTCAAACCACATGGCTCCTAAGTCTTTTGACATTCTAACCTTACTTTGTTTCTCTTCAGGTAAACTCAATACATATTGGATAACCACAGTTCAGCTCCTTTTAGATCAAAGGTTCCTGAAGTACTGTAAATTCTGCACACATGAAGTTATGATTGCCAGATTGGCAGTTAGATCTCATCATTTTACTGTTGAAATTGGTAAGTGTAACCATAAGTTCTATTCTAATAGTTTCTTCTCTTGCACATCTTGCATGTGGAACTCTCTTCCAGCTTCTTGCTTTCCTGTGAACTACAATTTTCAAGAATTTAGATGCAATGTCAATTGTCATCTTCTGTCTCCTTGAAACCTATCCTTTTATTATTCTCTCTCCTCAATAATGTTTTTCTCAGTTTCTTTCTCGCTGTAACCCCTTGCATCTTAATGGCTTTATTGCCTTGCTTTGAAGGAAATTATTTTAAAAAAAGCATCAGATTAATAATGGGTAATTATAAAGAAGTTCCTTCTAAGAATGAAATGCATCACATAAATATTTCCATTCTGAATTCAATAAATAAAATTAACAATATATTATTTCATAATATTATTAGGGTTGACATGTCGTAGCATCAACCAACTGACAATCAGCAGTGAGGAATAATGCTTAACAATGCTAGTCTAGTTGGTCCTCACTAGGTGCTCCATACAATATTTGACATTAAATAACCCAACAAGAGTTGACATGTTGTAAAATCAATCCACCAATAATTGGCACAGAGTAAGACAAGCCTGGTTGGCTAAAACTACTGAATAGTGAGTGTGATCCTCACTGGGTGCACTATACAAAACTCAACATTAAATAAACCAACAAAGATTTACATGTGTAAAATCAATCCACCAACAATTGGCACAGAGTGAGACAAGTTTGATTGGCTATTACTACTGGGTAGAGAGTTTGATCCTCACTGAGTGTCCTATACAAAATTCAACATTAAATAAACTAACAATTGACGACATGTTGTAAAATCCACCAATTAATAGTCAGTTTAGAGCAATAGTTATAAAGGCTATTCTGGTTGATAATTAATACTGTATAGTGAGTTTGATCCTCACTGGGTGGCCCATGCAAAATTTGACATTAAACAACCTAATAATAGTTGACATCTCATAAAATCAGCCAACCTACCCTTATCTGACCTTTCATCAGCATCATCATCTTCAGCATCAGCATTACTTATAATGAATACATGTTACCCTAAGTTTACAGAGGCATAACCCCAGTGCCTGTGTTTCAAGTCACTTATTCAGTCAGTAAGTGAAGCAACTAAATGACTGGCTGGTTACTAAATGAGCTGCTGAGTCACACATTCATACCAGTTAATACTGTCCACCTATTACATTCTTCATTCTTCACACCCAATCCCTGGGGTCATCATTAAAGACAGTGGAGGTAACAAGCAAATTGGCATCCCAAAATATATCATGAATGAGTAAGAAAGGAAGGCGTGTTACACCCACACAACATCTGGTCTACTCAAATCTCCCTCTCTCACCTACAGTTAAAATAAATCAGAAAGATATTTGACTTAACGATTCATTTAAGCCTTCAGTACCATTTAGTACATCTATAATAAATGAACAGTAATTTATTTTTATTTTGTTTAGCTTAATTCACCGTTAGTTTATGCCAGCAAGATCACTTGGTGATACTCGGCTATTTATAACTTTCAAGATTATTAATTTACTTTAATTAGAAACAAAGGGAAGAGTATTATGTAATATCGGTTGTTTTATGTGGCAGTGAATGCTGGACATTCTCCTCATAGATGGAGAAGGGACTTGAGACAATAGAAATATGGTTCTACAGAAAGATGCTGAGAATATCATGGACTGAATATGTAAACAATAACAATTTTAGAGAAAATGGAAATAAAAAAGACACTTGTATCAGAAAGAGATAATAGAAATTTTTTGGGTACATAATGAGGAAAGAAGGATTGGAAAATTTGACACTCACAGGATGCTGAAGGCAAGAAAGACAGAGGAAAGCAGTGCATAACCTAATAGTGTGGGTGGTGTAATGTATAATGGCTCAGTATTGTTAATTGGAGGGCTGAGTTCCAATTCCAGTGAGGTTTATTATATTCGCTTGCATGCAAATACCATTGAAAAAAGGTATGAATCCACATCTGCTCCCCCAGCTATGGGTTAATTTGTAACTAACAAGCTTTTATAAATGGATGGTAGAACAGTGTTTAGAAGGGATAACAAAAAAAAAAACAAAAAAAAAAATTTTTTACTAAGAACTACAGAGAACAGGAAGTTGTGGAGAGCCATGATTGCAATGTCCTAAAGAGACATGGCACTTAGAAGATGAATTAAAAGTCAAATAAGAGCTAAGAGCAATCAATAAGGCTCAAAATGATTGGAAAGCATTCATTAAAGATCCAAACAAATTTGTCAAAAATTAATATATTATGACATTTTAATAGAACATCATTAACATTGTCCTCATCTTTGTTGCCATATTTATCACAATGTTTCGGCTGTTGTACACTCCGGCCTTCTTCAAGGGCACATGGCACAATGGATAAAGGCATTAGTTAGATCCAGTGACAGGACCCAAAGAGTGTGAGTTCAATACTTGGTTAAGGCGGTGGAGAACTTGGAGAGGGGTATTAACATGAAATAACTGATAACTGACATCCATTAGACATGACATGTGGAACTAGAACAGTCTACACCAGCAACCAAAATAAAGGGTTCAGTTCAACATTCAAACCACCTGAAGAAGGTTGGAGCGTACAACAGTCAAAACGTTGTGATAAATATGGTAACAAAAATGAGGACGATAGTCCGTACAATGTAAATAGTGTACACAACACCTCATCTCAGAAGTATAGACAGATACATCCAATGTTCATAAGTAAGAATTATTTTTGTTCTTTTTCTTTTATTTTCTCTCATAAAATGTGCAAATGACAGGAAATTGTGGAGAGCCATGATCACCAATGTCCTGAAGGGACATGGCACATAGAAGGAGACTGTTGTCTGATTTTGTTTAGTGGTATATCAACCTCTATGGGTCATTTAATGTCAAAATCTAAATATTTTGTAAGTAATTTTATACTTTCAGCTACTGATATTTTGTATATAATTTTATATTTTCAGGGTAAACATGTTTTTTAAAATATATATAGTTTTTCTATTGTCTTTTTACCTTTATACTTATCTTTTTCTATGGTTTAATTCTGAGAATTTATATATATATATATATATATAGAAAGAGAGAGAAACATGTATATTGAAGAGAGAGAGAGAGAGAGAGAGAGAGATCTATTAATCTCCCTGTCAATTGGACACTTTTTCCAGTCAATTCTATGTTCACTGGGAACTTTTAAAACAAAATTAAGCTTAGTAAATAAAGGGTTTCCTCCACTGGAACACTGGTTAGCAAGTTTGTCTCAAAGTTTGATTCAATTATTATTGCATAGACTTTGCTCCTCATGTGACTTCAAGCCATTATAAAGCTCAAACTCAATAAATATCTATCTCCAGAAGCTTAATAGTTGCAGTGTCCCAACGATCATTAACTTCTCAGCTTCAATTTAACAGGATGGATCAATTTTCTATTTAATCACTGACCAATTGGTACTCCTTAAAGTTTTGACTCCACCAAATGTATCCTGACCACCACTGTTCATTTTTTCTCTGGTGCCAACTGACTGATTAATGTCAGTTGAAATGCCTCCAACAAATTAACCCAATTTCCTCTGATTGTCCCTTTAGTTTTTTTGCAATTGATAGGGTTTCATTTGGTTCATGTGACTAGCATTTTATACCCAGCCAGCATTTATCTACAAATAATAGTTATTTTTTTTCTATAGCTTTTAAAAAAAAAATAGCATGTTTATTCAGGATATAAAAAATCATGGCTTACCACAAATTTCTTATTGTTATTATCAATGAATTGCCATTATTTCTACAGAAACATATTAGAGTGGTTTCCCATTTCTTTCTATGTGCCATATTCCTTCAGGACATAGGCAATCATGGCTCTCCACTTCTTTCTATCCCGTGTAGCTTCCAATAAGTTCTATTCCTTTGCTACTTCTTCCATGCCATGTTCTGTCATTCACTTGCTAGGTATGTCATGCATTGCTTTCCCTTGTTTTTCTTTCCATCTATTCAACCTGTGAGTATCAGATTCTCCAAACCTTTCTCTTTCATTATGTGTCCCAAAAATTGCAGCTGCCTCTTCCTGATATTAAGTATAAGCTTCTTCCTTGTTTGCATCCTCTCCAAAAAAAAATAGTTGCTCACATGCTTGGTCCATGATATCCTTAGCATCCTTCTGTAGAACCATACCTCCATTGCCTCAAGTCCCTTCTTCATCTTTGAGGAGATTGTCTGACATTCACTGCCATAAAAGAGGACAGATGTCATGCAGCAGCTCAGCACTCTTTTCTTTGTTATCAAAGAAATCCTCCTGTCTCATAATACTCTGCCTAGCTTTTGGAGTGTGTCTTTGGCCATCCCAATACGTCTTTGGATCTCATCATCGCATCCTCTGTCAAAACACTTCCCAGATATTTAAATTTCTAATGTCCCCAACCTGTAAATTCCAATTTAGGCTCATCCTTTTTACTGATGACCATACATTCTCTCTTCTTGTAGTTTATGCTTAGTCCCTTCTTCTCACTCTCCTTTACTAGCCTCTGTAGGAGGTTTTGTAATTTCTTTTCTGAGTCTGCAATCAGTACTGTGTCATGTTGTTAAGATTGTGGTCGCCAATGATGAATCCCAGTAGGATTTCCAATTCTCTTGAAATTGCTTGCTGTATAGGTTGAATAAGTCTGGTGAGAAGACACATCCAAAGATTTTAAATCAGTGTCATTCTTCTTGTAAAGAGTCAACCAAGGCTTAGAGAGTCTAGTCTACTCTGCTATTTAACTCATTTAATGTTCTAGTTATATAGGATATTATGTTATGTCCCAAGTTGTCTAGTGGTTAGAATTCTATGCTCTCACTGTGACGGCCATGGTTTGATTCTCCACTTGGGAAATTTCAGTTTGAGCACTTCACGGTGGTGTAATGGTTAGCAAGCTTGTCTTGCTAAAACAATTATGACTGAATTCAATCCTCACTGGGTGCCCCATACTTTTGGCATTGTGCCACATCTAAGCTATGCTTGGAAAATTGCTATATAGGATATTATTTTAATCTGTTTCTAAAGTATATATCTTTTGATAAATGAAAATTATGTTGCCCTTTGCATAATAAAATACAACATCCCAAAAACAAAAATCAATATTTTTAATAAGGCTAGATATTATAAGCTGAAACCTATGTGATAGTTTGTCTATATAAGTAAATCCTGAAAATTTTACCAAGATCAATTGGCTAATATCATAGGTAGAATTTATTGTGCAACATCAAATTTTTATTCATTCCAATGATTTTATATATATATATATATATATATATATATATACACTGGTAGTACTTTTTTTTCATCATTTAACTCCAAGCAAGATGCCACTAAGATGCTAGGGTTTACTAAGTGAAAGAATCTGAGGAAAAAAAAACATTATTAAGCAGAGAGGATAATAAAGAAAAATATGCATTTAAATTTTTGAAGATTAAAGTTGGCAGGATAGCAAGAAGCCAGGTGTGAAAAGAAACTATTATATCTTCTTTTTTTTTTAATCAAGCAAGCAAGGCAATAAAGTCACTAATTTGCAAGCAATTATTGTGTGTGAGAGAATAAAATGAAAGAAAACATTATTAAGGAGAGAATATTTAAAGAAAAGGAATTAAGATGACAGAAGATAATGATGGACATGGCAATGGATTCAATATAGTCTTTCCACTTGAAAGTAAAGAAACAAGTAAAAGAAGAAAATAGGAAAAAGAAAAAGAAAGAATTATATATCTTGTTTGTATTTATTGCCCCCTCCCCCTAGAAAGGTGGGATTTAAGGAAGGTAAATATGAGTGCACTCATCCATTTGATTCAAGTGGGAGTTGATTTCATTTGCATAGGAATGTATATTTATTTTGTAAATGATACAGAATTGTGGCACAAGACCAAAGGGGAAGTGAGGAAATGGTGGTCTTCACAAACTATCCTAGTCCTAGTTAATTACAATCATGACCCATTCATCTGTTACAATAACCCACTCACCACAAGAACTCATCCATCATCTCTCAATCCTACATATACCACAATACCACATATTCACAGGGGACCTACAAAACACCCCATCATAAAAATTCATAAATGTTCAAAAGTCTCTTTTTTGTTTTTTTTTTTGCAAAATAAAAACAGATATAAAAGAAAACGACTGACCTCTACTGTAATTTTTTCAATGTTGTTATTTAAAATCATGAGTCCTAGCTCACTCTTTGTCTCTTCCTTTGCCCACCGAACGACACAATCCTTGAGCAAGAAGTTCAGTTCACAAATATTACTGTTGCTGTTCTGGTAGCACTCGAATGTGTGCAACTTTACCAAACACCATCGCTTGCCCCACGGCCTCTTGTTGAAACTGCTATAGACATTCAAATAACCTGAAAAAAAAAACAGATATTTTTTTAAAAAAGTGAGACTAATAAGGCAAAGAACAATTTCAAGTTTCTAAGAGCTAAGCAAGATGCTGAGAAATGGAAACATTTAATTAGAAACAAAGAAAAGAGTGCTGGATTGCTATATGTTATCCATCTTATATGGCAGTGATTGCTGGACAATTTCTCCACAGATGAGAAGAAAACTGAAGCCAACAGAAATGTGGTTCTACAGAAGGATACTGAAAATTCTATGGATGGATAGAGTAAGCAACAAGGAAGTTTTAGATAAAAAGGCAAGAGAAAGAACATTTATCCCCAGAATCAGGAAAAAGAGGTTAGCTATAAATTTGCAATTATGTTTGTTTTTTAGGTTACAGAACCAGTCTGTTGTTTTTTGTCTTTCCACTGCACATTATTTACAATATTCGAACTATTGTTCTCATCTTTGTTGCCATATTTATCACAACGTTTCGGCCGTTGTACGCTCCGGCCTTCTTCAGGTGGTTCGAAACGTTATGATAAATATGGTGATGAAGATGAGGACCATAGTCCGAATATTGTAAATAATGTACATAATACCTCATCTCAGAAATATAGACAGTCTTTCCACTGATTTACTCCTAATTTTTTCCTTAGATCTGAGTTAATTCTTGCTAATATTATTTTACTTATTTTATCTAGTTGTGTTTTTCTTGGGTTTATGAGTGTGGATGTTGGGTTTTGTTATATTCTGTGCTAATAGAAATATATACTTGAAAAACAAGGTGGATAAAATATGTAAAGTTTTATTGTACAAAACCAGTACAAATAAGAATAAAGGTAACAGTTATGCACAAGGTCGTCGCAAATCAATCCAGCAGTGAGTGCTACTATTGGAAGGTTGGTATTTCTCACGTAAGTCTGAGTCATAGTCAACAGATCCTAGCTAGTCTCTGATATCCGTTGACTTACAGATACTTATAGGTAGTTACTACCTATAGTGTAGTCACTTATGGGGGTGACAGGTTATTCTATAACATCAGGTTTGTTCTGAAGTTTTCTTTGTGATTTAACAATGCAATTTGTTTCATCATCTAAGTCTAATGTCTAGGCAATTTTTGTAGCATGCATGTCAATATCATATTCTATAATTTTTAGTTCTATTCTGTATGTTTTAGTTATGGCCATGAGTAGTCTGTTATGTTTATTTTGGGTGGAGGGCTTATATAATAAAATAACTGCAAATTTATAAAATGAGATATTAAAGATACATAATGAGGAAGGGAGGTTATATATTTATATATATAATAATGAAGGGTGGTTATATATTTATATATATAATAAGGAAGAGAGGTTATATATTTATATATATAATGAGTTATATTGAAAGCAAGAAATATAGAGGAAGGCAGCAAGCAACCTACCCAACTGTAAATAGATGGCAGAATGAGTGGGGGGTGTAGGGAGAAAAACTGCTAAGAGCCACAAGGGATAAGAAGTTGTGGAGAGCCATGATCGCTTATGCCCTGAAGAGATGTAGCATATAGAAGAAGAATATTCCATTTATTTGAGTTAAATTCTGGAAAACCAAAATGAAGTAATTATATTTTTAATAATTTTCTTTCATTTCTACTAAATGGAGTCAACTTGGCTAAAACCAAAATGACATGTTGTAATCATACTAAGCATCAGAAAGACATAGTTGAAATTTCTAGGGCACATAAAAAGGGAGAGAGGGCATAGAAAATTTAACACTCACAGGAGATATTGAAGGCAAGAGGGGCAGAGGTAAACAGTGCATGAGCTACCTAATAAGCTGCTGTAAATGGTTGACAGAACAGGGATTAGGAGAGATAACAAAAAGACAATCTTTATTAAGAGCTACAAAGGACAGGAAATTGTGGAGAGCCATGATTACCAACAGTATATAGAAAAAGAAGATGAGGGGAATTGGGAGCATAGATTGGTCGATTTAGTAGTTTAAAATTTTAGACTTTCTACAATGCATTGTTTGAATTAGACAATCTTGGGCCTTGTGGTGGGTGATGAATGTGGGGTGGGTTGTTAAGGACATTCTGAAATATGAGGAAAAAGGTACAATAGCGAAAAAAGGTTCAAAATCATATTAATAAAAATCATATATAAAACATTTTATATAAACATTAAAGGAGAATATGAGGTATAAATTCTAAATATCAGACCAAAAGTGGTAACTGAATGAGAGATGAAAACAAATCCTATATAACACATTTGTCTTTCAAAAAGACTTCTTCAGACTGAACAATGTTTTATTTGATTGAATTATATAATGGACTGTCCCATCATCTTTGATGTATGAGTGTCAATCAACTCAGTTCCTACGAACTGACAGCCAGACACCCCCACATAAGATTTGATTACAGTGGTGAAAGCATTGTGCAAAACCAACCAAACTTTTTCAAGAGCTGAATACAGAGACCTGGTGCACTGTGTGCCACAAGGTCTCTAAACAACCCTCCTCATGTTTTGAATTCAGAGTTGTCCTTCTCCTAGACCAGTTGCTATCCAAGGCTATAGAACCTAGTCTGTTCTGTTATTTATCCATAGCTGGGGGGAAGAAGAAGAGGATTTATACCTTTCTCAAGGGTATCAGCATGTAAGTGAGTGTAATGGATTTGACTGAATTCAAACTCGGTTCTCTGATTCCATAATCCGAGCTGGTAGCCATTACTCCACCGTACCTCCTGAATTATATATATATATATATATATATATATATATATATATATATATATATATATATATGAGTGAACATTGAAGTCAACACTCAGAGGTGACAGGCTGTTTTATGCTAGACGCAATCATCAGGCCGCCTTGGATTTATGAGTCTGCATACAGGTTTGGTTTTGAAGTTTTCTTTGTGGTCTTTCAGTGTGATAAAGGCTTGCATCTTTCTGATGCAACTTATTCGGTTGTCTAGGTCTAATTTTTGGGTGATTGCTTTAGCTTCCTTATTGATATTGTGTTCTATTGTTTTTGGTGCTTTTTTGTATGTCACACTGCCTGACGATTATGTCAAGCATGAAACAGTCAGTCACCTCTGAGTGTTGACTTCAATGTTCACTTTTATATTTACATATGCTCTATCTCTGATATTGAGCACTTTATCCCATAAATATAGCATACCTTAAAACTATATTTCTTCATATATATATATATATATATATATATATATATATATATATATATATATATATATATATATGTATATATATATATATATATATATATATATATATATATATGTATATATATATATATGTATATATATATATATATATATATATATATATATATATGTATGTATATATATATATATATATATATATATATATATATATGTATGTATATATATATATATATATGTATATATATATATATATATATGTATATATATATATATATATATATATATATATGTATGTATATATATATATATATGTATATATATATATATATATATATATATATATATATATATATATATATATGTATGTATATATATATATATATATATGTATATATATATATATATATATGTATATATATATATATATATATGTATATATATATATATATATGTATGTATATATATATATATATATATATATATATATATATATATATATATATATATATATATATATATATATATATATATATATATATGTATATATATATATATATATATATATATATATATATATATATAAATATATACAATAGTGAAATGTCTACCTTTCATCAAAATCTTATTAATACACAACAATAACAAGTTAGATTGGAAAGTTTACCACAAAAAAATGAAATGATTTAATCAATTTCCATTCCTGCCAAAAAATAAAATCAGGACTAATCATAGGATTTTACAGCCATTAATATATGTAGTCTGCAATACCCAGATGAGAAATGAATTCAAAAAACATTTCAAATTCTTCACTACCCACATCATTTCATCATTTCAATACTAGAAAATGTGCATATTCAAGGTGCAATGGGTAAATTGCCTCCATTTCATATTTTTAATTTCATGCATGCATGTTGTTTGCATTTGATGTTGTCAACTGAACAGTATAGTGGTGTCTGTTGGGCACCATCTGTGAATGAAAGAGCACCATGATGCAATTCACTATGCAAGAAATTTGGAAACAGCATGCTGCATGGCTTGGCATTATATTTTTGTTCCCTCTCCCATACATATTAATTCTTATATTATTATAAAATCATTACATTATTAATATATATATATATATATATATATATATATATATATATATATATATATATATATATTTTATATATTTTTATACTTTTTTCCAGTTCTCTAATCAGTTTCTTGATGTTAAGATGAAATTCATCAAGGAAGGCACTGTAATTTTTTCTAACCAATGTACTTTCAATATTTTCCAAGATCGTTTTCAGGGGTAAATTACAAAAAACAAACTTATTGTAACTGCAATAAAATCAGCATTCTGTTGTGACAGTGATTTTTAGAAAACTTGCTCTGTTACAGCTATTTTATAAAACTTTAAAATTTTTGACAACACCAATGTACTAGATCTCAAGAATAATAAACAAAAACATCAAATTCTCAAGGCCCTCTATATCAAAATCAACCAACCAACACTTAACAAAATCTATTATGAGTGTAGCAGCAATGTATTGAAGTGCATATAAGAAACATTTAATGCCATTTTGCATTTCTACCAATATTCCAGTCAGATCCCTTATATTGGGATGCTTGTTTTGCAAAAGATTCTATAACTACAATGGATAAATTAAAATTTTCAAAATTTGGTTGGGTCAAAGCTTTAAGGAGTACCTATTGGTCAGTGATAAAATAGAAAATTGATCCAGCCTGTTAAATTGAAGCTGAGAATTTAATGATTGGAAGGACATTACGACTATTAAGCCTCTTACAAAGTGATAAATATCTATTAAGTTTAGGCTTTATAACAGCTTGAAGTCACATGAGGAACAAAGTCTTGTTGAAATTCATTTCGTTTCTTTCACCTGTGATTTCCACGTGCAAATATTGTAGCCTAAACTTTTAGACAAAACAAGAAGCACTACTGCAACAAGTCCTTTTGAATGATCAAACATATTTATATATATATATATATATATATATAAATGATAAATATATATATATATATATATATACACACACACATTTTGAATGATCAAACATATTTTATATATATATATATATATATATATATATATATATATATATATATATATATACACACTATTTACATTGTTTGGACTGTTATTCTCATCTTTGTTATCATATTCACAATGTTTCGGTCGTTGTACACTCTGGCCTTCTTCAGGTAATTGGAATTTTGGACTGAATCCTTTATTTCATCCACCATGGTAAATTGTTCTAGTTCCATGTGCCATGCCTCTTCTGGATATCTCTGTTTCAGTTATTTCACTTTAGAAACTCTTCTCCAATTTTTTTTTTTACCTCTGTTGTGGCCAGGTATTGAACTCACAACTCTTTGGGTCAAATCACTGGATTACTTCAACCAACACTTTTAGCCAGCATTGGTGGATGAAATAAAAGGTTGGCTTCAAAATTCCAATCACCTGAAGAAAGCCAGAGTGTACAACGACCGAAACGTTGAGAATATGACAACAAAAGATGAGGACAACTGTTCAAACCATGTAAATAGTGTAAATAGTTACAATACCTCATCTCAGAAATAGAGAGATATTTTGAATATATTTTACGCTGCTGTGGTCATCATTCTCCTCCATCTCAGACTTGTGGTTCATGAGAACATTCAAGGCAGAATAGTGCAATGGCTTCCCAGTTCCTTTTACAATGGGGATCTTGAGGTTACCCGGTCACTCCACTCAGAAGTTAAAGAGGCAAGATCTACACGGCAGCAGGTGAGTTTTCCTTTTCATAGAATGGTTGTCAACCAAGGCTATAGAGCTCAGTCTGTCCCACTATTTGCCCACAGCTGTAGGGAAGTGATGGATTTAAACCTTTCCCAAGGGTATTAGCATGTAAATGAATGTAATGAACTCAAATGTAATTTGAACTTGACTCTCTGATTCCTTAATCTGAGCCACCATTCATTACTCCACCATGCCTCCACCAAAACATTACCATAATATTATTTTATTATAAAGTATTTATTATTTTATAATAAGAAATTTATATGAACATATCAAACAGCTGAATTTTACTTTGATTGCTTCAATTCATTGTCAGGAGATGTAAAATCTGAAAGTTAACTTGGCTTTTGTTTTTTCTTTTTTTTAAACAGACACTTACTTTTACACTTGATGCTAATGTCCTGCCAGCGATTATTTTCAGACAAAGTTGTCAGTTTTTCAGACTTAAAGATCTCTGGTGATGTGTCAGATGATGGTGTGGAGTGTTTTTTCTTGGGTGAAGAATTTAATGATATTCGGCTGAGTTTCAGCTCTGATGGCTTCCTCGAATGTCGCTTGCGACCAATCGTTTCTAAGAATTGGGATGCTTTTGAAGCCAGCATTCCCAAGTGATGAGATTTCTCATTGCCCAAATCCTCTGCAAAAAATAAAAAGAAACAATACCTAACATGAAACAAGACATTTTAAAATTTTTGAGTTTATCCCAAGAAGCTCTTTGGTACTAATATTAAGTCATTGACTACTAAAAAATATTAGTGCTCTAGTTAAAAAAAAAATAACATTGATTTTAAGTTCTTTAATTACTAGCCACTCCAGGAATGTAATCTTGTACCAAAGCTGGCATCAAAAATCAAATATTTACTTTTCTTGTTGCAGAACAAAATTTCATACTCCACTCAAAGAACTGCCAAGGAAACAATAATGATTCTCTCAAGAATTATTTTACCAGCCTGTACACTCAAGGAAACTTATTAGGTAAAATATATATTGTTTAATATAAAATGGAGTATCTGCTTAAATGGGTATCTGCTAAAAATAATGTTTGAAATAATAAAGATATCTTGGATTAAAAAATGAAATTCATTAATTCTTCAGAAATTGGTTTCTTTGTTTCAGATATAAAACTGGGCAGATATAACTTTCGAAAAATCTGAACGAGTGAGTTTGCTTTAAAGGTAAATAGTACCCTGCTTGATTATGAAGCTTTTTGTAGCCAAGAAGTTAAATTATGGTGGATCAAATGGCAGTTTATCCTGCAGAGTGGAAGGCAGGTTTTAATCCTGCTGGATGGTACATTTTCTTTGATCATTTTTCTCAAGTATGCAGGCCAGTATGCAAAATAAATACCGTTTAAAATAAAAAAGAGTGTCTATCCACTAAAAATAATGTTTGAAGTTATATATATATATATATATATATATATATATAATGATACAGTTAAATCACACTGAAACACCGGTTCTCGTTCAATCACCGTTCAGCATCGTAGAGCCAGGTCAGTACTTAGATGGGGACCGCTTGGGAACACCTGGTACTGTAAGCCCCAAAGTCCAACCCTTACCTCACAGTTGGTGGGGGTGTAAACAGTAGTGTCAGAGCTATGCCGCCGGAACTTCATTCCTGGTAGGGCCACCCAAGGCGGACAGGTCTGACACACACGCCGCTAACAAGGGCTCTGGTGAAAATCCAAGGAGCGTCTGCATCGGTAACCCAAGCGGCTTCTGGTCGTTTCTGTCTCTCGTCTGTGGGAACCCCTGTGGCAAGCAAGAACGTTATCCGAGTAGGCCTGGGTACCCTACTTCTGTAATTTATCCCAAGAATCTTCTTCTCATAACAGGAAGAAGCCGCTCAATCCGCCCAGGGTGAATGCCGCATCAGTACAGTAGTAGTACAGTATATAATGATATATAATTTTGTATAATTTTATATATCAACAAACAATATTTAGAAAGATAGTATGACAAATTGGAAAAAAAAGTTTTTTGCGATGCGTTTCATCCATTAGGATTTCATTGATCTGGGTTTTGTTGATGTTGCCACATCTACACATACCCACAAAAATTTTGAAACTACCAGTGTCTCTCATTTCATGTACATGAGTAGACATAGCAACATCAACAAAGCACAATCTGATGAAATCCTAACGGGTGAAACATATCACAAAACCATTTTCCAATTTGTCATGCTATTTAATATATGTTTTTTTGTTTCATTACATTTTTGGAAGTGCAATCTGATGATCCGGTGTCCTTTAAAAGGGCTCTGGTGAAATAAATTATTATAACGGTACCTTAAAGTGGTCTGTTTTCCTTTTAAATATATATATATATATATATTGTAAAGAAAATTTGCTCTGTTTAATGAAAATAAACATTGAATGCTCTTTTGTGAATCAGTTTAACATATTTCAGATTCTGTTGTGTTAATAGGACTCACCTGGATGATATCAACAGATTAATATATATATATATATATATATATATATATATATATATATATATACTAGATTGGCCAAAAAGTCCTTACTCAATAAGTGGAAAGGAAACAACAAATCTTGATCTCTTTCTGGTGGAATTTCCAAGGAGTATTGCATTTCAAGCTTGTTCCACATGGCACACAATGAGCAATAAACAGTATTGCCAGCATCTAGACCATGTTTAACTAAAGAAGGAGTAACCTGCTTTGGTCAATTGAAGTCAGACTTTGTTTTAGCAAGACAGTGCAAGGCCACACACTGTTAGGTTGACTAAGGAGAAGTTCAAACAGTTGGATGATGTTGAGATTCTTCTGAATCCACCATTCTGTCCTGATGCTGCCCGAGCAACTATGGCCTATTCTGCTCAATGGCACACTTCCTCCATGACCAGTGATTCAACACTTTTGATGAAGTGAAGGAAACTTGTTTAGAGTTTTTTGATTTAAAGCCGGTGGACTGGTATCTGGAGAGATTTGGATAGTGGTTGATCACTGACAGAAGATCGTCGAAAATGATGGACTTTGTTTTGAAGAATAAATGTTGGTGTTGCTCCATAAAATTTTGTTGTTTTCTTTCCACTTCTTAAGTGAGTCAGCACTTTGTGAACAACCTAATATATAACAAAGAAATAATAATATCTATGGATAATATTTATAACAAATAATAATAACAAAGTTATTAGATTAATAACAAAGTAATAATAATTTCTATGGATACATGTAGAATTATATAATTTAGCATATGTGATGGTGAGCAAAATTTTTGGCATTTATTCCTTAGTTTTTAATTGAGAAATGCCTACTTACCAATGCCAGTCCGCCTATGGAAATTTTCATCATGGCTACCATGATCACTACTAGCAGTGGAAAGGTTGGAGCCTGATCCTCTTACATCATTCTGCAAGAAGACAAGAATTCAAGTTAAAGATTCCATTCCAAACAAATGAAGAACATTAACCATTATCCTGATTGTCTTCTACTAACTATTCCTCACCTTTCGTCATTTTGTCATTTTTTTTTTTGATTATTCATTGATAAATGGTGGGAGTGAGATTACAGGTGAGCAGGTTTGAGTTTCTTGGTATGTTTGACATCTAGCCAGAAATCAAATTAAGAGAACGGAAAAAAATTGTTTCCTATCGCAAACCAGTGCTTGCAAAATCAGAAATACTCAGTGTATATAAACAATTTATTATAGTTTTTTTTCTATCCAATCTGCTAACTCTATAAGAATGATAGTCAAAACAAATATAAATAAACCAAACATATTGTAGATTTTATGGAACCCATAAACACTTCAAATATCTCATAGATCAAGTATAAAAATCTGTTTTTGTTTTGTGGCATATCAACACCTCAATGGGTTATTTGATCCTGATAAGATTTTTATTGCTGGGAATATTTTTTTCCAAAAATGTATTGCTGATACTTTTTTTGCTTCAAAAATGCATTGCTGGCAATATTTTTTTTCCTTCAAAAATGTATTGCTGGTAATAATTTTTCCCCCAAAAATTTATTGCTGGTATTAAAACCTATCTCCACACTCTCACAGAGCCTTGACCCCAGCTTGGTGGTGGTGGGGGGCAGGAATTTACTACTAATTGAATTTGAAGAGGATGTGCAGGTAGTGTAATGGTTACTGGTGCAGAAAATGGAATCAGTGAGCCAAGTTCAATTTCCGGTCTCATCTGCTGCATTCACTTTTGCACAGATGGCTTTAGGAAAGCCATAAATTCATCTCTTCTCTCCCCAGCTATTGGACAAATAGCAGGATAAAGTAGGCTCTCTAGCCTTGAATAGCAGTCAGAAAAAGATTACTCTGAATGTAAAACTGTGGAGAAGGCACAGGGAAATCACTCCACTATCATTATCAAGAAGTCATGGCAATTCACAGATAATAAAGACAAGCAATCTAGAAGGACTACTCTGAATTCAAAACAGTGGAGAAGACAACAGGAAAGTACTTCCCTATCTTTTTCAAGAAGCCATGATAAATCACAGATAATAAAGAAAAAAGGAATCTGTGGAGAGCCATGACTGCCTATATGTTAGATATCAAGTCTCTTATCACATGGAAGTAAACTTCATGTTTATTAGTTTAAAATCGCTTGATCTAATAATTAATCAAGTTTATGAATTACAGGTAACATTAATTAAGATTTGAAATTAAAATTTTATTTGTCCATAATAGGGTTGCAACCAGAAACCTCAGCTGACCAGGTTCATAGTATGAAACCTCACATTACTTGGCTACCAGTCCACTGATCTAGATAATGAACATTTTATGTTTATTTTACTCAAGTTTAAGAAATACAGTTGAGCTATAACCTGTGCCATTTTGTTGTTGGTATGTTAAGATTTATTTGTTTAATTAAAGAAACATAAGGCAACACTCTGACGTAGCCAGAATTTAGTGGCACAACTCTTAGTAAGAAAGGAAAAACCAGAAGAGAGAAAGAAAACGCCAGAAAATACATTGAAATAGAAGCAAGAGTGGTTGTAAAATGATCTTTTGTGACACACACACATATATATATATATATATATACATACATACATACACAGACGTTTTCATCGTAACAAGACCATCTCCCATAATATATATCGTCACTTGGTGCAGGAAGACGGCGTTGTTTCTTCACTGGCTGTCGCCATATTGGATTGTGCTACATTCACTACCTCTTGTTTGTGTCATTTTTGGGTAACTTTTTGTCCTTTATTATAGCTCCCAAGTGTAAGGCAGACTCGTGGATGCTTATGTAGGCTTATGTTCCAACCTATATAAAAAATCAGGTTATGTCGCGCCATAGGAACACATCTCTGACGTAAGTCAAGGAGCTCCTGTAACTCAATTTCAAGTAATGTCATCACTTGATTTATTCTCCAATATGGGCAACACTAATGCAACTATTTAGTCCTCCTTTGATCTTATATTATTTTGCACAAATGTGGCAATATTGAAAGGCTCCTGGAGTAGTTATTACACTTATATATATATATATATATATATATTTACACATGCTTTACATAGCATAGCATAGCATACCATAAAACTATATATATATATATATATATATATATATGATCTCGAAATGGAGTAAAAATCCACTGTTCGTAGCATTTACTTTTAAAAAGGTGCTCAATACAAAGTAGAGCAATCTATTATTAATAGATTTTTATTATAAGAGATTATAATAAAAATATCTTTGAAATCACTACAACAAAGCTTTCATGTTTCAATACTATGAATGTGATACCTGAAGAAATACATCTATAGTATTGAAGCATGAAAGCTTTTGTGTAGCGATTATAAAAATGTTTTTATTATAATCTCTTTTATTTATATATATATTTAACATGAAAAAATAATTTTATATACTGTAAGTAATTCTATTACATTTACTTGTTTTTTCTTTTTTTTAAAAAAAAAAATAGTCTATTAAAATAACAATGAAAATATTTTAAAGCTGTATTTAAAATTGTAGTTAAATAAAACGTATTCTAACTTAAACACCTCTCAAAAAGTACGACCGGCACTTAAATGAATCCAATAAAACACCTACTGAAAAATGATATTATGATGAAAAGCTAGATGTAGGCCATTGAATGACCCATGTCCTTTGTACATACATGAGAAACTATATATTACTAAGTTTAAAAAATAAAAAAAAATAAAGTTTACTAAATCAGAGAAATGAATTAGCTATTTTTGCTGTAAGTGTCATAAATTTTACTTGAATAATATTTAAATATAAATTTTAAAAATCGTAATATACATACTTATACTTGACACGAAAAATAATTTTACTTACTGTAATTCTAATACATTTACTTCTTTTAAAAAGAAATATAGTCTATTAAAACAGTGAAAATATTTTAAAGTTGTATTTAAAATTGTAGTTAAATAAAACAAATTCTAACCTAAACATCTTTTAAAATTGTAATTGTAAAACGTATTCTAACCTAAAGACCTCCCTCTAAGTACTACAAGCACTTAAAAGAATCCAATAAAACACCTACAGTAAAATGAAATTAATATGAAATGCTAGTTGTAAGCTTTTGAATGACCCATGTCCTTTGTACTTACATGAGAAATAATATATTACTAGGTTTATATAAAAAATAAAAGTTTACTAAATCAGTGAAATTAATTAGCGGGAGCGAAACCGGTTACTTTGCCCGTTTTTAATATGTCTAGTAATATTAAGTTTTACACTTTTATTTCGATATATATATATATATATATATATATATATATATATATATAATTTTTTATAAAAAATTTATAACATAAATATGTTATAAAAATCACTACAAAAATAGCCATTTTTTTCAAACACTCTGTGTCTTATCAAGTGATGGTGTTGAAACAAATAAAAAATCTTTTTTATTTTCTTTTCAACACCATCACTTGATAAGACACAAGTGTGTTTGAAACAAAATTATTTTTGTAGTGATTTTATAACATACTTATGTTATAAATTTTTTTTATAAAATAATTATATCTTTCTACTTTGTATTGAGCACTCTTTTAAGAATAGTAATTGTTGGTTATTGGAATTCATTCCGTGTATACCAATTATATACTTTGATATATATATATATATATATTTATATATATAAATACAAATATAAAGTTTGTCACTTAGCTGATTGGTGTTACCACCTTAAGCATCCTGATGTCATTTTTGTAGACTGACCCTTCTGCAATCACAATACATATAGGCTACTTGTAAAGTTCTTGTGTAGTATAATTTATGCCTATATGTGATACACAGGTGCATGCACACACACACACACACACACATATATATATATATATTGCCATTACTAAGCAGTTTTTTAGATTGGAAGCATGGTGGAGTAATGGATAGTGGTTCAGATTGAGGAATCAGAGAGCTGAGTTCGAATTCCAGTCAAATCCATTACATTCACTTGGGAAACATATGAATCCTCTTCTCCTCCTCCCAGCTATGGGTAAATAGCAGGACAGACTGGGTTCTATAGCCTTGGATGGCAACTGGTCTACCACAAAAAGAAATGCCAAACTACTGCGGGAAAAAAAATCTGCCTTGTCAGTCATGTATCAAAAGATACATGATCACCTAAGTGTGTATCACGCATGGCACATAACTGACTTTTTAGATATAATAAATGCAATATTAGGTTGTAATACCAACAGAATGTATGTTATTATTCTATTTAGGCTTTACAAATTTGTGCAAGAGATTTAATTTTTTTTCTTCCATCCACATGAATCTATGTGGGGTATAGTCAGTCATTTTAATTTGTTCTTCAAGATGTACAAATATACTCAACAAACCACCCACCTAAATACACAAATTCACATCCATACAAATACAAATATTCTTGTACCTACATATATATACACAAACATTCAGCAAAACACACACATCTTAAGACACACAAACATCCACCTACCTAACTATATACACACATGCACTTAAACAGAAATACTAACATGCCCCCAACTATACACACATATACATACCTTAAGAAAAAACACAAACTGAAACATACATCTTTTTAAACACATAAACACCGCACAACTATACACATTCAAACACATATTCCCAAAGGCCTATATGCACACACTCACATATAGAGTATACACCTATGCATGAACACAACTATCAACCTATCTATATATACACACATGCACAAACACAAATATGCCCACACATATACACACACATATATTTATGCTCTTTAGATTTGCATTGAGCACTGTTTTGTAAAAATAAAAATAATTAATAAGAATACTGGATTATATATCTTACTTTTCTTTCTCTTTATTATAATATATATATATATATATATATATATATATATATATATACACACATATATATATCTCAACAAAAAGAACACAAACTA